CTCCAACTAATGCTGAAAAAACTGAATTCACACTTCAAACTGTGAAATTAGACCTTCTTTTCCACAACTTACAAAATCAATTTCATTGGAACTACAGAATTAAAAAGTTGGAACTTGAGCTAATTTTCTAGAAGTAAACAGGGAAAACACTTTAACAGATTAGAATGAAAAGAAGGTTTGAACAAGACCCACAAATCACAGGTCAAGACACAGAATCACATCATATCAAAGAGCTTCTAGCCCACAAAGGAGCAATGGCTGCCACGGCCCTGGAGGTCATGACCCTCTTGAAGGTCACATCAGATAGCTGGCATATCAAATATTTACATTATAATTAATAGCAGTAGCAAAATTATAATCATGAAATATCGACAAAAGAATGTTATAGTTTTGGGTTGTTCTCCTCAACATGAGGAGTCATGTTAAAGTGTCACAGCATTAGGAATGTTGAGAACCACTGCTCTGAGAAAACCAAAGGTCCTTCTCTTTTCTAGAGTTCTCTACTTTTTAAAAGTCGCACACCGTATAACAGAATTTCCCTTAAATTAATCTAGATTGCTCAAGATAGATTTTTGCATACAAATTAAGATTTAGCACTCTGTTCTATCTTATTAATATTCAAAAATAAAAATGTTCAGAACATACGCTTCGTAAAAGGCTATGTGTGGTGAGAATTTAAAGTACATGTGCATAAGTTAAAGGCTCCGAGCTTAACATAAATCTTTTGGCATTAATAGACTAAGTTTAAATATATGGCTTACAGAAATGCAAATCACCCAAAGCCTTAAATAGACCGTGGGCACAGGCATCAGGAAAAGGTACTATTAATACTACTAAGATGGGCAGTTTTCACTGGTTACCGATTTTTTCCCTTGGAAGTTACAGAATGTTGTGGTCTCTATTAAGTGGTTGATTCTAACTGTAGCTAAAATTTCAGAAAGCTTTCCTATAGAAGCTTACCTATGCTTTGCCAGGATAAGTCTGTACACAGATCATCTGGGAATAATGTGAAGTCAATGGAGAGCATCCCATATGAGGACTGTGGGGCAGACTATGGGATCCTCCTATATACTGGGATGTAGCCACATGTCCCATTCATCAGCTGGTGGCATGCCTCTTATGCTCACAGGAATCCCAGTTCTCAGAAAACTTGTAAGCCTGTTATCTATGATCTTCAACAACCATGACCATGAGGAAGGGCTTTCTCTGGAGTCCCATGAGAAATCAGAGGGAACTATAGTCTTCTTAGGCGCCATCCAAGACCCAGCTCTGAGGATAACGGCTGAGCATCTTCTGTCATCTTCCTGATCTTTCTTAGGTAAAGTCTAGCATGGAAACAGGCAGGAAAGAGGGTTCTTTCCCTCAATGAGACAGGAGACACTATGAAGTGTGGGGTCAGGGATGGATAGCGACCTCAGCGACATGGTTGGACTTGATGGTGTAAACACTATGAAGAGAGAGAGAGAGAGAGAGAGAGAGAGAGAGAGAGAGAGAGAGAGAGAGAGAGAGAGAGAAGAGAGAGTGTGTGTTGGGGGGGTGGGCAGTGACCTCAGTGAGGTGGCTGGGCTTGATGGTGTGGAATTTTCTGCTGTAGAGATGCAGAGCCAGCAACTCCATCATCCTGTCCTGATGGGGAAGTGGAGGCTGTAAGAATCTGTGCTTCCTCTTCAGTGACAGAAGCCTCAAAAGTAGCTGCTTTATTTTCTTACACCTACCAACAGCAATGTTATGTCATATTAAATTCTGGGAATGAATAAAAGGAATTAGTGTTGTGCCCAAGTCTCGAAGACCCTCAGAGACCTCCAAGGAGACAGAATTCACCAAACTGCAAACACAAGGCTTTATTGTTTAATCCTACTGGTTGGGACTCCATCCAGCGAGCTGACACAGCATCAACCTGGAGGAAGCAAAGTCCCTTGTCTATTGCCAGAATTTAAAGGAAAAAAAATCACAGAATTACATCAATAGGCATGGGTCAGATCCTGATTGGTTGACATTTGGAGAACAATTAGGGGAATTTCCCAGAGTCAGGGCAGCTGGTTTGTTAGGATTTTTGATTGGTTGGCTACAAATGAGAGCATTGGTGGTTTCTATGGCTTTGTCTGTTACTTGCAGGTAGTCTGTTCTCATTGGTTGGTGCTGGGAGGAAGCATTCTGTGGTTCCTATGGTTTTGTCTGTCTCTTGGAGGTTGTTTGTTGCTAAGCACAGTATCCAGGTACTTACTAAGTCTAAGAGGAAGGTTGTCTTGGAGTTTTGTTCACAACACAAGAACTATAGCCTAGGGGAATGGATTTGTTTTGAAGGCTTTTCCATGACCTTTACATTTATATAGTTTCTCTCTAGTATGAATAATAAGAGTTGAATACGAAGTTAAGGCTTTGCCGCATTTATACAATTTCTCCCCACTGTGAGTTATAAAACTGAAGCCGTTTAGTTTCGTTTACCTCTTTCAGTCAGTGTTAAACAGCCTGATCAGCCCTGGATTTCTCACCTGAAGGTGCAAGGTGTGGTGGTTTGAATAAGCATGGCCTTGATGGGTTCATGTATTTAAATGCTTAGGTAGTAACCCTATTTGAAAGGATTAGGAGGTGTGGCCTTGTTGGAGGAAATATGTGCCTAGGGGTGGGGTTTGAGGTTTCAAAAACCCAAGCCAGGCCCAGTGACTCTCTGTTCCTGCTACCTTCCTATCTGGGTGTAGAGGTCTCAGCTCTGTCTCTAGCACCATGTCCACCCGCATGCTGCCATGCAGGACTAAACCTCTGTAGCTGCCAGCCAGCCCCAATTAAATGCTTTCCTTTATAAGAGTTGACACAGTCATGGTGTCTCTTCACAGCAATAGAACACTGACAAAAACACAAGGCTTTCACTGCAATCGTGCACCAACAGATCTTTTTTTTTTTTACACTTCAGCTCTTGCTGCTAAAATCCTAATGAAATTCGCACACTAATACCCACTCACCTACCCTATATTTAGTTTGCAATATTGCATTCATTCCTCATCACAGACTAAAAGAAGCTACAGAGATAAATGAACTGTGTTTCCCCAAAGAAACATTACTGTTTAAACGAAAAAGAAGAGTTTTATTGTTTATCTCCAGGTCATTTATATTATGACCTAAATCGATTTAACCATTAACAGTTGCCTGAATTATGGCTTTGTCAGTGCTTATCTCCATTCTGTTTAAAGTCTGAGGGACATTAAGAGGAATGCTGCCTAGTGCCAGGCAGTAATTTTAGCCCTGACAAGGGTGTTTGGAATCATTTATTTGCAAACAATTCCCTGCTCTGAAACAAGCTTAGCTCAAAAGGTCTCACCTTGTAGATGCATTATCCAGAATTTAGGCGAAGTAGGCTTCAAAGTGAAATAAATGATGAGATAATAAAAATCACAGGCCCACAGAACCTAAGATTTAAAGTGGGGCTATAATTTAATTTTCACAATGCACCTTTTCATACACACGTTTGTTAAGCATGCATAGCTGTAAAACATAACTCACAAGCCAAGTGGAAGACAAATACAGACTTTGCGAATGGTCACATCGGGGGATATATTGTAGTTTATGGGAAGACCAGAAGTACTCTGAGCTTATCCATTTTTGTTATTGTGAAGGAAACCTGAAGGAAAGGCAATAATAGAAATTAAATGATTCCATCTTTTTTCTTTTCTAAAATATTTTTTACTTAAAATTTTTATTTTTCATTTTACATACCAACCCCAGTTCCCCCTTTCCTCCTCTTCCCCTGCCCCCCATCTCTCACCCCTCCTACCCTCCATCCAGTCCTCAGAGAGGGTAAGACCTTTCTTGGGGAGACAACAAAGTCTGGCATACCAAGTTGAGACAGGACCAAACCCCTCCCACCTGTATCAAGGTGATCAAGGGATTCTACCATAGGGAATGGGCTCCAAAAAGTTAGTTCATGCCCCTGGGATAGTTCCTGGTGCCATTTCCAGTCCCCACCTCAACAGATCAAGTCATATAACTGTCACCCACATTCAGAGAGTCTAGTTCAGAAAATGGACCCCCTGTTAAAGAGAATGTGTGAATAGATGTGTTTCTGGTGGTCAGAACTGCCCCAACATTACAGAACAACTTTGGGTGACTATCTAGGTAGCAAGATGTCTCTGTCATATCTAGAGTTTATATGCTATCCTTCTGTGGTCTTTGATGGAGTTGAAGACATAGTTATAGCTATGGATTTCCTTAGTTATTATAAGAGATAAGTTACATGTAAAACTTTAGACTCATAAAGATAGGATAGATAATAGAATGTTTTCTTTAAATCTTACTAAATGTTAGTGAACTAAATATTGTAATTATAATTCTTGGTTAATAACTGTTTTGTTATATATAATTTGACTATGTTACAGTTAAAACCTTTCTTTTTATTTAGACAGAAAAGAGATGATTGGAAATGCTATTCTATAAATATGTTTCTCTTATTGGTTGATGAATAAAACACTATGACCAATAGGACAGCAAGATAGGTGGGTCTAGGAGATGAGGAGGATTCTGGGAAGTGTAGGCAGAAGGCAGTCATGCTGAAGGAAGCGTGAGGAGTGACAGGTCCCTGGACCTTTCTCCAGTAAGATAAGACCACGTGGAAATACTTAGATTAATAGAAATGGCTTAGTAATTAAGACAGAGCTAGCCAATAAGAAGCCCTTGTCATTGACCAACAGTGTTATAATTTATATAAGTCTCTGAGTGTTCATTTGGGGTTGATGTGGTTGTGGTGCCAGGCTGGTGGGAAAGAGTTATTGTAACATGGAACAGACTTTAAAAGTAAGTGTGGCCTACAGCATTACTCACAGGGAGGTGTACTCCATTGTCATGTCAAGGTTTGAATATAAAGTGCCCCCCATCCAAGATTCAGAACTGTAGTCATGGTTACTGAGAATGCTGTGCAACAGGTAATTGGATCATAAGGGCTTTGACCTAATCAAGGAACACAAAGCTATGAGGACTATTGAAACTGTTGGAATTCATGTGAGGTGAGGCCTCACTGGCTAGATCCCTGCCTTTGGCGTTCCCTTGAGAACTCCTGTGTTTGGTTCCTCACTCGCACTTTCCTTCCTGTGCATAGACACAAGAAAACAAAGTGACCATGAGTTGAGACCCTTGAAACCCAGACATGAACACTTTCTTCTTTCAGTTGTCCTCTCAGGTAATTTGTAAAAGTGGCAAGAAGCTGTTATAACAGTTTTCACCATGAACGAAAGCCTCAGAGGCAGCTTGCTGTGAGCTATGCTCTCATTCCTGGCATGGCTGTCCTTGGACCTATGCATCCCTCATGGTTTCTCTGTGGTAGCAGTGGCCATTAGGCAAATTTTCATCTTAAAATGAGTAAGACATGTTAAATAAGAATAAGTATAACTTCCTGGGAACACCGTTACTATTTTAACCTAAAATGCTGCTGGTAGCATTTTTTGTCATTGACACTTTTCTTTGATACTAGGACCAATATAAAGATGGAAAAGAGTAAAATTCTCTGTTTTTGAAATATCTAATTTTCTTCCTAATTAATAGCTCATAAATAAATTATGAAAGACAGACTAATAATTAAGTCTTATAATTTTTAGTCTTTCAAAAGTTTTAATATTTGTGCTTTCATGAATGTGATGTGGAGAATGTACATGTCATTGTGTTGCCCACAGAGGCCAGAAGAAGACGTCAGACGCCTGGAGCTGGACTTTCATGAGGCTGTGAGCTGCCAGACATGGATGCTGGGAACTGAACCTAGGTTCTCTGCCTGAGCTGCATGCTTTCTCCCCTGCTCCTGAGTCCTAGCATGTTTTATAGGTTAAATTTAGAAAGGAAATTGCATACTAATGAAGAAAATAAAACTATGATTGAAAGGAATGTTATAGCATTACCACAACGGCTAATTAAGATTTTAGTTTTAATATTTTACTTCTAAATAATGTAACTTAGCTTTACACAGTTTTGCAAAATTTAGACACTAATACTATCATTATGACTAAGGGAAAATTGATGGTTTTAGAATTCAAATCATTGGCAAATATTTCACTTACACTTGATGCTACTTAAATTATCAGGGTAGGCTCTGCTCTGTCATCATGCTAAAAGGCAGCATGTCAGCTTTCTGCTCATTGACAGGTTTTTGGATTAATGAAATAAGGGCATCGATTGTGGTTTTACACTTCCGATGGTGCATGTGCGATGATATATGCTCTCCTATCTCCCATTCCCGCCCCTGTTCCCCCAACCCCACCCCACATCACCCCCAGGAGTGGAGTTGCTGACTTCACCCAAATCCCTTCCAATGATTGAAAGTCTGCAAATGGCCTAGAGAGATGCACAGTTCCGATATAAGTGAGCTGTGAGACATAGTGTGTTCTGTGGAGTCAGAAGCCATATGGAAAGACCTGAACTACTCAGCACTGGATCCTGGGTTTTCCCACCCCCACTCCAAGCGCTGTGTGTGAACTTTACTGTGTGTGCATTTTCTTTTGTGTGTGTTGTTTTGGGTCAGTTCTTTAGTGTAATTCTGAAGCAATCCATTCTCTGTCATAGACTGAGTCAACAATCGAACTCCCTCAGAACACCCAGAATCTCCCTCCTGGCCTCTGCATACATTTCAGCAAGGTGAACCTAGAGGAGTTGCAGAGACTCAGTGCTGTGAGGCATTTAGTGATGTCCAAGTTCGTCTAAAGGTCCAATTTGCTCAAAATTGAAGAAGTGTCTAGATGGAGAAGGTATAACTTCTTTGCCATTATTTTATTGTATTGGTTTTCAAAGGTTTGCTATTGTACAGTTATTTTATAATATACATTTGGTGATTAACTGTCATACTTTTTGTACCTCAATTTAACATTTTCACTTACCAAGAAGGGACCCACCCTGACTTTTAACTGCTGTCTATTTTAATAGGTGTTTCCCCTTGTAAGATTATTTTTGTCAAAGATATGTATATCTATAAAAAGTAGTTGCGACAAAGATATCTATAATAAAGTTTTGACAAAGACATCTCTATCTATAAAAATTAATTTTGACAAAGACATTTCTATCTATAGAAAGGTGTGTGTGTGTGTCTCTGTGTGTGTGTGTTGGTATATGGAGATATGTATCTGTTTGGGCATGTGTATTTGTGTATGTTTGTGCATGTAGAGGCCAGAGAGGACTATGGCGTCTCCCACTGATCTCTGCCTTGTTCTCTTGATACATGGTTTCTCACAGAAGGTGGAGCTCTCCATTTTGACTGGGATGGTTGACCAGCAAGCTCCAGGGATCTGTCTGCTTCTGTCTCTCAACAGTGGGGTTATAGGCTCCCATCTCCATGCCTGGTTTTTATATGGAAATTCAAAGTCAGACCTCATGCTTGCTCAAGCCACCTCCCCACCCTTGATTATTTTTCTAAATAATTAAAAAAATTTAATTAAAATATACTTACTTCATCTGCCCCATTTAAAAACTTCCTCCATGTCTTCTTGTGCTTTTTCCTTTCAATCCCTTCTATGTCCTATCTTATTGCCTCCTAAGCTCATTACGTTTTTCCTTAGTTATTATTGTTAGACACACACACACACACACACACACACACACACACACACACAATGTGTTAGCTCAATTTTTAAGCAAGGTGACCCTAAAGTTGAAATAAACTACAAGGTAATACAGAGCTCAACTCTATCTAACCAAATAATCATAATAGTGTAATTTAATTTCTGCAAAAAAAAATCCCCTCACCTTCCATGTGTGAGATTCTGAAGCAAACTGTTGCAAATGTGACTTATGAGGCCCAGCAGAAGGAGTGAAAACCACTGCAAACATAACTCCCAGTGTCCAATGAAAGGGGAACAAAGCTATGGGCTTGTCAGTTGCCCTGCCAGGAACAACGGTGAAGATGACTTAGGAAGAAAACACTTGGGAAGCAAGAGGAAGAACATAAGCTAAGGAGAGAAGACAGACGGTGTGAAAGGGAGGTAAGTGTGTGGGGGACTGTGCTTTGGATCTAACAATCTGTGTGATAACCATGGTGGCACGCGCTTTTCGTGATGGGTACCCTACTGAGCACAGCTAATCTTCATGCAGGCCCATCCAGTAATTGTGGTAATGAGTTTGCCGTACTCTGCCTGCTACCTCCCAAACTCTCAGTAGACACAAGCATGTCTTTGTGGTAGGGACACTTTTGGCATTGAATTTCAGCCACATCAGTCCCTTGCTTCTGTCTTCCATAACTTCTACAGAGAAGATGCTTTCAGGATTGTGGCTTTCCCTTGGAGACTGTGTGCCTCTTGTTCTCTACTTGGTACCTTTGCACAATTTTACAACGATGTTCCCATCCATCGTTTTCATGGCATTTGTTGTTGGCGGAGTTTAGGAAGCTTTTGAGTACAAGTTGATAGTTTCCATCATCGTGATACTGATTTCTTGTGACTCATTTACAATTAAATAATATGTAAACACATATTTTAACTGAAGTTTGAACTGCTTTCCAAGTATATCTCATGCATTCTCATTACTTGACAGCTCTGATTACCATAAATTCATTTAACTTCTATATCAGTGATTCCATTTCTATTAGTCTCATTTGTTCTGATGCCCATCCACTGCATTTATAATTTCAGATATTATATTTTTCTGCCTTTTGAAGCATGTTCTTGACTTTGTGAATTCCCATTTCCCAGTGCTTTCAATCTGATGTGCAATCTTGTATTTCCCTGAACACATGATTATGGCTTCATGGTCCACGGCCACTAACAATAGCACCAAGATCCATTGGGAGTGAGGTTCCTTAGACTGGGTCGTTTTCTCTTGTTTTCTAAGCCACAGGATTTTAGATTCTGTGCTTCTGAACATAGAAGTAAAGATGGCAAAAGGTTGATAACTTCAGTCTAGTCAGGACACAGGTCTGGAATGACATTCTGTAATAATGACCATCATGCTGGTGCCCCTTCTTCCTGAAGGTCTCCCCCAGCTAACTGTGAACCTGCTGTCTGAACACATAGAGTACAACCTGAAATTTAGCTCCCCCATCACAGACAAGTTAATCTGATGAACCCATTCATTTTTGTCAATGGCCAGAAAGAGGTCTGAAGTCTGTCTCTCTCTGCTTATTTATTTACAAGTCTCTCTTAATAAGACAGAAAAATGTATTATCACTGATTGAGAACAGGCTAGTATCCAGCATGAACAATGCAACTTTTTATTTTGGTGAATGAACAAATTAGATGATTTCAGAGTTCTAATTTGAAGAGTGGCAACAGGACTTAGATATAGCTGCTGTGTTCTGCATTGAGTTTGGGCTACTTATGAAATATCCAGTGACCATCTCCCACAGACAACTGAGTAGATGGTGATGGAGCTCAAAAAGGTTGTGGGAAGAGAGTGTAAGTTTGAGAGTAATCAGTAAATGAGGATAAAATTACTCATATGGGTATGACTTCACAAACAAGATGCAGAAAGAGAATGAATGTGGGTGGGAACTGTGATCCTGGAAATCACCTGTGTGTAGCAAGAGAGGTGAGAATGAAGGGAAATGCTATGGTGATTCTGTCATGAATGGAAAAATTCATGCAAGGTTTACTAGTCAGATAAAAACCCATTTAAAACTCACAGTTTAATCTGGGTGTGCTGGCACACACTTTTAATACCAACACTCATGCGGGTAGAAGCAGGCAGATCTCTGGGAGTTAGAGGCCAGCCTAGTTTACAGAGAAATGGAGATTGATCCTGTATCTAAAATAGAAACTAAAACTCCCTGATTATATCAGAGAAAAAAGAGAATCCATTCAATAGGGCCATCTACAAATGAATCTTGCTTTGGTTCATATGACTTGCAAGATTCCTACAATGGTGTCACAGTTATCTTTGGTCTATATTTTCAGTCTAGACTCAGATCTCAGGGAAGAGCACTGGCAGCTTGCCAGTACATTTTTTTTTGTTTGTTTTTTGTTTTTTGTTTTTCGAGACAAGGTTTTTCTGTGGCTTTGGAGGCTGTCCTGGAACTCGCTTGGTAGTCCAGGCTGGCCTCGAACTCACAGAGATGCGCCTGCCTCTGCCTCCCGAGTGCTGGGATTAAAGGCGTGCGCCACCAACGCCCGGCACATTTTTTAATTGTAGAGGAAAGGCCTGTTTTCTTAGGAGCTTCAGGATAATCTGGGGTTCATTTTAAGCAGACCATCCTTGAATCCCACACCAAATGCAGAGACTGAAAGAATTTGCCAGTGTGTCTGTATTGATGCCCTCATGCCCTAGAGCTTGAGGCTGACAAAAGCACAGCCTGAGCTGAAGTTGCCTGAAGGAGGAAGAAACCATCATGACAATTAACATGTCAATCAAAATGTAAGGAGCAAAATGTAAGGTACCAGGAACAGTGGTACCACCTTAATCTCAGCACAGGGGAGACTGTTAGGTGAATCTCTGTAGTTTGAGGCCAACCTGATCTACATAGAGAAGTATAGTCTGGCCCAGGGCTACATAGTAAGACCCTGTCTCAAAAATAAAACAAAACAAAGCAACCAAATGAACAAGAAACAGGAAGCAGACACATATACAGGCATGTGGGGATAGATTTCTGCAGACTGCTCTAACAATAGAAATGATAAACCTCTCTGAGGTATCTGGACTGCATTCAAGTCAAAGAAATGGCAAATTCTACAGAGTTGTTAGAAACAGAGCTGATGATTGTTCATGGGTTCATTGTTTTCCTCCATATTGTTTTAGACAGGTGAGAATAGTAATTTCCCTTATAATACCTGTATGAAATCACAAAGTTTCTCAAGAGTCAGTTAGCTTTTTTCCTGCAATGTTTAAATAATGAGCATTCCAATTCAGCGGAATGTACAATTTTTACAAGGAAGTTCAATACTTTTCCCCTTTCAAGATGATTGAATCAGTTTCTTCCAAATGACTCTTACCTAAATGAATTCTTATTACATATTATTTGCCAAATACCTAAAAAGTTAGTTATTTCTAAAAATTTACTTTAAAATTTTAGCAAAGTAAACATATTTACTGGGCCATCATAATGATGTTTAGAATGAATCTCAAATACAATGGTAAGTATAGATTTTTCAATTTGCCTTCTTATGGAAACTATACTGGAGTGTATCTATATGTCTCATGTACATTTTGCATTTTAACTTTTCTTCAATATTTTTAGATTAAATTTATTATAAACTAATTATTTAAATGAGTCCCAAAAAGTACTTTACTTGGGAAACTCAGTCAAGAAGAGCAAAACTAGGCAGCTTGTCTACTACTTAGATGACTAGGTCAGTCTTCAGTTGAATACATTTCTCACATTTTTCTGAGTTTTTCTCTTCCTTTGAATTATGCATTTAAAGTTTTTGTGAGTATTATTTTGAGACAGCTTGTTATAACCAGCTGCACATTATTTAGATAAGTGTATCATTAAGTGACCAAAGCTCAAAACTGGTGAATAGATTTAGTATTTTATTGCTGGTATTTTGTCATGTATCTCTCCACAACAAGAGCAAGATTATGGGCTGTCCTAAGGTACTGATGCCATTTCTCATTTCTTCAAAATGAATAGAAATAATTTATTTCTCTAGGATGTCAAAGAAAATCTACCAACATTTGTTTTCCTTTTGTTTTCAAGGAACAAATTCCAAGACAAGGGAGCTTCTACACTCTCGACTGCCCTTCCGAGCTGGAGAAGCCTTCCAAGAACATCCAGGAGGCTGTGTATTGAGGTAGGAATGTAAACAGCTCAATCAACATCACCTTCCACACTGGGTATTTCTATCAGGAAGCATCCCATGATTCACCACTGGATTACATGTGAGGCTTTTCTGAACAGATAATGTCACAAGGCAATGTACTAAGTAACTGGTGAGGGCCTTGCTCCGCCAGCATGGCTACAACTTCACAGGAAAAGGATTCCCAGGGATTTGTCTTCAAGTCTTTGTCAAACATTGTTGTGAGATATTTTGATCTCACTCTGACACTTCCAAGACTGCCCAAAAACGTTATACCTTGGATCAGGGGCAGAGGCAATGACTAGCTGACCATGATTGGTCATAGAGAAGCCAGGAATTTGAATAGAGGAGATGCAGGAAGGAAAGGGCAGGGACTAGAGTTTGAGTTCACTTGGCTTTGGGATGAGTGAAGAGACAAGCCAGATGTGAAACAAGTTGGACACACAGAGTGGGATGCTTCCTGATAGGCAGTAGAATGTAGATTAATAAAGATATGGGTTAATTTAAGTTATAAAAGCTAGCGGAACAAGCCTAAACTTAGGCCAGGGTTTTATACTTAGTAATAAGTCTCTGTCATTATTTGGAAGCTGACTGGTGGAACAGAGAAAGACTCCCCACCCACATTCCATGTACAACAAGGCAATATTTCAACCTGGTAGTTCCAGTGTCTTACAGTGCTATTATGCTATGAGTTACAGTCTTATGTGATTAGCTTGCAATGATTTTTTTCTTTTGTTTTCAAGTTGAAGGAAAAAAAAACTTTTTCCAATATTATATTTTTGTAATTATTTCATTACCTGGGAAATTATGATATAATTACATCGTTCACCCCTTCCCTTTCCTTCCTCCAGTCCTTCCCATATACCTCTCCTTGCTTTTTAAAACTCATAGCTTCTGTTTTCATTAACTGACATGCTCACACATCTATATCTATCTCTTTCTCTCACTATATATAAATGCATTAGCCTCAGGTGAGATCAAATTCCCTATGAATTTTTGTGCATAGTGTGACCTTTGTCAGTTAAAACCTACCCTTCAGTTCTCTGCAGCAAAACTCTGTAGATGTCTACGTTCATGAGGATTGCTGCTCCTTTAGCAGGGAGGCATGACACCCATACCATAAGGACTGCTATTCCTTTGGCAGGGAGGCATGACATGCACCGCTGAGGCTCTGGCACAGCTCCACAGTTGAGATGCTCTCAGTTTGTAATCTATAAGACTGAAGCAGGATGTCCTTATCAGACCCCTCCTCTTAGGGCTCAAGGATCTATACAGAAGTGGGGATACAGACTGTTAAAATCAGAGGTGGTGGATGACTCCAAGGAAACAATATCTCTCATACACAATAGGACTGACATACAAATGAGCTCACAGAGACTGTGACAGTGTGCAGAAGGCAAACACAGACAAAACCCCAGCACTGAGATGAGAAAGTGGCACAACGTCTCCCCCTTATCCAGAAAGCTATGTGCAGTTGATACCTGTTGGGAAAGGGAACATCTGTTTTCTTCAATGGAAGATCACTAGATATATAAACTGTAACCCAGGGCAGGCTCCATGTCCAGGAGTACAGACAAAACAAAATGTTTTGGGTATTTTTTTTTCTTATTGGGATTTTTGTTTGTTTTTATTTTCCTTTTTTGTTGAGAGAGAGAGAGAGAGAGAGAGAGAGAGAGAGAGAGAGAGAGAGAGAGAGAGAGAGAGAGAGAGAGAGAGAGAGAGAACAGTAAGTTGAGTGGGTGGGTAGGACCTGGGAGGGGTTGGGAGGCGAAAGAGTATGAATAAAAGACATTGCATGAAGCACATTAATAAAAATAAATGCAAAGAAGGCTGTAGTGTACTGGCACGTTTGTACTGCTATTGTCTTTACCATGAAGCATCTACCACAAGAACAGGAAATAGATGTGGATGTCAACTAATAGGCAACCTTGTATCCACAGCATCAACCTTACTTGCAGAAAGGGTTCTGACATCAATCAGATCCTTCATGGACCAGAAAGATGGCTCAGTGGGTAAAGGCACTTTCCACCAAGCCTGATGACCTGAATTCCATCCCTGTGACCTATACGGTGGAAGGAGAGAAGCAATTTATTCAAATTGTGTCCTGACCTCCATAGGTATGCTGCAGCATGCCCCTTGTGTGTGCTTATGCACACACAAAATAGATAGATGAATAGATCAATAGTTAGATGAACAAACATGAAGTAGGCATTCCTTTATGGGGCACCGAAATTAATGAGATGAAGATCGCCTTATCAAATGGAAATGAATGTAGTGTTAAAACACATACTTTGTTCACAGGAGTCATTAAGCAGACTAATGAAATTGAAGATATGTAGATAATATTGTTGTATATGGAGACCTTTTCAAACATAAGTTTTGAAAGCCTAAACATATAAAATTATAGTTTAACAACTGTTTCCATTGCATTGGAAAATTTTTCATTTTTTACAATTGTTTGATTTTATCTATCAATATTACCAAAAAAATTAGTAATGAGCTGAACATGGCTGACAGTCAGTTGGTGCCCATGAGTTTTACTTTACCTCTTTATGTTATCAACTTATTGATAATCCAGTGTGGTGTAAGTACTTAATGATGATTTGCAATGTATTTATGACATCAATAATTTAACACAACCCTTGTAAACTGATTTATACCTAAAGTTACATGCTCATTTATAAGATTTGTTAAGATATACATGCTTATTTATATGCAAGGCAGAAAGGTTATAATAATTGAAGCAGTAAGTGGTTATAAATTTTAGCAACCCCGAGATGAATGCTCTCTAATGGCCAATGACTTCTCAGTAAATGACTCATGATGCACTTCACGCTCTTAGTGAAATATGAGCATTCTGGTTGGGGAGGAATAACAGGCTGAGTAACAGCATTGTGGGTTAGTAGTGATTTGCTAGCATGCTTCTCCCCAAGGGCTCCCGTGACAACACACCACTGGTGTGTTAACTGTGTCATTAAACTGGAGTAAGTAAGACACCCAGATGCTGGTTCACCTAAGTTACTTATCACATTTGTACTTTGTGCCAAGGGGGTAAACCTAACGTCAACACTCCGGAACTCACAGAACAAATGTCCACAGTGATTTCCATTGTTTTATGCTAAAATACCATAATATTAAACCTGCACATTAATTAGTAAGTCTCATATATCCTGAAGACTTTGGTGCTCCTATGGCTGCCATAGAATAATTGGTATCTATAGTTCTTTTCAATAAAAAAAATGGATGAATCAATATACGATCTTTTCCTTCTTTTTGAATTTGATATGTTAGTATTTTGATAATCTATCTACCATTAAAATGTTCAGATCAGAAGAATCTCATCCTTCTCTCCTCTATTCTTACTCTGGTCCAACCTTCTTGCTCTCCCATGTCCTCCTCTTCCCTCCTCTTTTCCCTCTCTTTTTCTCCCATCTCCTCTAGTATTTCTTAAATCATACTTAAACATATCATACTTAAACTCATCATACTGGCTATAGCAAAAAAATAAAAATGAAGCTTGAATCAACCAAATGCAAATATTACCACTGGAGTTAAGAAAGCACAGAACATGGCTGCAGATTTGAAAATTATTATAAGGGCATATAAAATAGATGGTCCTTCCTAGTTCCCAGTATTCTTGGGTCATCACATAACTTGGTAGCACAAGAACAACAAACTCCTCCTGTCTCTGCTGTTCATATAACATGTATGTCTAGTCACCCAAACCCAGCACACCTCAGGGCAAGGAAAACCACTCCCATGCAAAGGAAGAAAATGAGAATAAAAATCCCTGCAGACTTAGTGCTGGGCGGTTGCTGTTACTCCCTTTTTTCTCACATTTGTTTTTGGCACTTGTCACCCTGGATGAAAAGATTTGATAGTAATTGCACTTGTTGTGACCTTGGGCTGCTGCTATTGGAATACTCAAACACTCCAGAGAATAAATCTTCCTGGAAAAAAAATCCATGAGATCACCTGTCTCTGGTGCTGTCAGTTTAGCTCTGGGTTCCTTTGGGAAGTTGTTGAGATTCACACCTAATCATCTTGTAATGAGACTGCTGAGAAGTTTCCCATTTCACAGGTGATGGAAGAAGCAGATTCGTGCATATTTCATTTAATGGTCCCTCCCATGGAAACTTACCTGTGACCTGGCTATTGTGGCGCCTTTAACATTCCTACAATGGACATTTGCTACTGTGAGGAGTTTGGTATCAATTGCCCAGCCAAGGCTGCTGGTAATTTTAAAGACCATTGCACATACATGCATGTACACACACACACACACACACACACACGTACACACACATGCACTCATGCACATGTAAGGGACTTTTTTGTATTCATGATACAGTTGTTGTTCAGTAAGACCTCCTGTCTTTCCATGCAGGCTTCAAAGTGTTTCTTCACATTAACAGGTGTGTTAATGATAACTTCTAGAATTATATTGCATGATTTTCATGGGCTTGCTCATTTAGTTTTACGGGTTTAAGAGTCACGTTTCTATTCATAAATGGTTGTGTAGGTTTCTTTCCTATGCTATATTTCAGATATGGATCTTGGCTTACATTATTCTGGATAATGTAAAATATCCAGTGAAATAAATGAACCTTTTCAATCTTGTTCCTCCCCACTGCAAAAAAAAAAAAAAACCAAAAACCAACAACAATGAGAAGTGAAAATCAAAATGGAACAAAAAGTAAAACTCCAATAAGATGAAATAGGCTTTGCCCATCTGCCTTAAAATGTCTATTGTTGCTGTCTGTGTTGAGCTCACATTTAGACAGCCACGTAGGTGAGACTTTATGGGGATAACTTCTGACTGTCCCAGGAGACATAGTCTCAGCAAACTCCCCAATGCTCTGGCGCTTACAGTTTTCTTCCCTATCTTCCACAAGGATCCCGTAGGTGCAAGAGCTGTTTTGTAGATGTATCTGTTGGGACTGCACTCCTCAACTCTGCGTTTTGATTGGCTGCAGTTTTCAGTAGTGGTCTCCATCTACTGTGAAGAGAAATTGCCTTGAAGGAGATTGCATTTATCTGTGGTTAAAGACAAATGTCTAGAGAATACTTGAGGATTACCCTGGTTTAGTAAAGTGGCCATTGTGGGTTCCTCTCCAAGGAGAGTGTTGGGCTAGGTTTCCAGTATCAGGCAGGGTTTCCCTCTTATTGGTTGGGCCTTAAGTCTAATTAGAAAGCTGTTGGTCACTGCCAAGGAGTGCTTGCCATTACTGCACTCTTAGGGCTCTTGAGCTATGTTGTTTTTTACTGTGGTTCACAGGCACCTGTAGTACCATGAAAGCTTGTCCTCAGGGAGGACTCTTTCAGGTTAGTTTCAGTTTAGGGCCTCTGGGCATGGTGTCATCAGCAATAGGGACTGACCTTCCACCTCTGGGTTAATCAAGGACAACAGAAATAACCTGTAATGTTCTGGGAGCTCTTGGACAACCCTGACCACCAACCCAAAGACAGGTTCTCATGCCTGGATTTGGGGTTTTGTTAGTCTTTGTTTCTTGGATGAGGCATTGTCAGCCTAGATGGGAAGTTTCATTTGTTTGCATGTATATTTAGGTATAACTATGTATGTATGCATATGCACAGACTTGCATGTACTATAGAGTTTTTCTAGACTGATAACTAATAGTGCTATTCCTTTTGCCCCTTTTCAGACATCCTCACTGTTATTTTACCTTCCTTTCTCCTCCTGTATTTATCACCCTCAGTTTTCCTCGTTAGAGCCTCCCCACCCTATTTTCCCCATCAGATCACCTGTTTAATTCTATTCATTTATACACATCCATCAAGAGATTGACCATGATTTTTTCCTTTTGTTGCTGTGTCATTACCCAGTTTTTGGTAGTAAGATTATAATGGATTTGTTAAAAGCGCATTGTGGGGCCAGTGAGGAGGCTCAGTGGGTAAAGGTGTTAACTGCCAATTATGACGAACTCTGTTCCTTCCCCAGGACTCACGTGGTAGAAAGGAACTGGCTGCTACAAGCTGTGCTTTGTCCAACCTCCACAAACATGGTTCCTCCCCTGCAAAAAAGGATGGGTAAATAAATAGACAATTTGTTTTTGAAAGATTATTTTCATACATATTACCTTTATATCTATGGAATAATTTAAGAAGCATTAGGGTTGGCCTTTTTTTAAAGGCCTAGTTTAATTCAGCTGTAAACTCATCACATCTTGAGCTTTTTCAGTTGGGAAACTTTATTATTGCCTCAATGTCATTGCTAATTATAAATCACTTTAAGTTGTTTTAATTTTCTTGGGTAAAATTCACAGTTTATATGTGATCAGAAATTTGACCATTTATTTCAGATTTCCCAATTAATTTTAGTTATAGTTTTCAAAGTAAGCTCTTATCATTCTCAAAATTTCATTGGTATATGCAGCATATTTTGTCCTTTTGATCTCTAATACTATTAATTTGAGTATTCTGTATTTTGGTTTTGGTTAAGTGTCTCTCAACCTTGCTTACTTGTTCATATTCCACTCTTTGCTCCACTGCATTTTTATATTGCTTTTTTGTTTCTATTTTTTAACTTCTGCCCATCCTTTATTATTTCATTCAATTTACCATTTTGGATTTTTTTTTTCTTCTTGGTTTCCTAAGACCTTGACGTACATCATTAATTTATTTACTGAAGATATCTGATGTTTTTATTGTAAGAATTTATAGCTATAAACTATGTCTTATAACCATCCATTTTCATAAACTCTCAGGACACTGGTGTTGTAATTTAACAAAAGCAGCAGGCGAGGAGATGCCATGTGACAGGGTTCAAGCAGAGGTTTTTTTTTTTCTAAAGATTTTTTTTTAAATTTAGATTAGCAACAATCTTATTTTACACATCAATCCCAGTTCCCTGTCTCTCCCATCCTTCCATGTCCCTTACTGGACCACCATCCCATTGCCTTCCTGCTCCCCAGGGAGGGTGAGGCCTTCAATGGGGGGATCATCAAAGTCTATCACATCATTTGGGGCAGGGCCTAGGCCCTCCTCCATGTATCTGGGCTTAGAGAGTATCCCTCTATGAGGAATGGGCTCCCAAAGTCGATTCCCACACTAGGCATAAATGCTGTTCCATTACCAGAGGCCCCAATATACTGCCCAGGCCTCCTAACTGACACCCACGTTCAGGGGGCCTGGTTCGGGCCTATGCTGGTTTCACAGCTGTCAGGTCAGCTGCTTCTGTGGGTTTCCTCAGCCTGGTCTTGATCCCTTTGCTCATCAGTCCTCCTTCTCTGCAGCTGGATTCCACGAGTTCAGCTTAGTGTTTAGCTGTGGGTGTCTGCTGCTTCCATCAGCTACTGAATGAAGGCTCTAGGATGGCATATGAGGTAGTCACCAGTCTCATTATAGGGGAAGGGCATTTAAAGTAGCCTCTTCACTATTGCTTAGCTTGTTAGTTGGGGCTATCCTTGTAGCATTTCCCTAGTGCCAAATTTCCTTTAAGCCTATAATGGCTCCCTCTATTATGGTATCTCTTTTCTTGCTCTCCTCTATTCTCCCTCCACCCTGACTCAATCTTCCTGTTCCCTCATGTACTCCTCATCCCCCTCCTCCCCTTCTCTTTCTCCTAACTTCCTCCCCCATGCTCCTAATTTGCTCAGGAGATCTTGTCCCTTTCCCCTTCTCTGAGGGACCATGATATATCTCTCTTAGGATCCTCCTTGAATTTTTTTATTAAGAATAGGGGAAGGGGAAGGGGAAGGGCAAGGGGAGGGGAAACTGGCCTCCAGGGACAGGAGCAGCAGGGGTGGGAGAGAGGGAGGTGTGAGAGAGAGGGGGGGGAGGGAGGGAGGGAGAGAGGGAGGGAGGAAGAGGGAGAGAGAGAGAGAGGAACAAACAGAAAGAGGGAGAGAAAGAGAGAGGAGGATGGGAGGTGGGCAGGGCCCTTTTAAGAAGTAACATAGTGAATGTGCACAGGTGGTACTCTTAGTGGCTGCAGCTGAAGGCTTATCCTGTCAGAACTCCAAGGACAGGCCAGTACAGATTCCTGAATACTAACAACTAGTAAGTTGTGTTCTCATAGTCACTCATTCCTAGGACTTTTAGATTTTTCCTCTTGAGTTTCTCAATGAGCAATTTACCCTCAGGAGTGTGTTCTTTGGTTTGTGTATTTTGTGTGCTTGTCATGGTTTTGGTATGGGGGTTTGCTGCACATAGAATATATAGAATTTATAAGTCTCCTATTTGTGAAGATTTGCTTTGTGCTCCAAAGCGGAGTTTTAGGGAAAGCTCTGTTGGCTCTTGAGGAGAATGCAAGCTCTGTAGTGTTTGAGGGAAGTGCCCCTTCTTTGCTCTGCATACTTGGTGCTGAGCTGTAATACAGTATGTTCTTTTCAGGGCTTGGCTGTTCCCCATTCTAAATGCTTTCTGTATCTGGTTGCCCATCTCTTTCCCTGGATCCAGGGAATTTCTGCAGGATCCCAAGATTCCTATCTAGTTAGGCTGAAAATTTCCTCTGTGATGTGTTCAATGTTGTGTTTTATAGTCTGTTTTTCCTTGTTAGGCTTTCAGCCTTCCTTTTCTTGACACACTGACAGCTGCCTCACAAACTTTGTCTGTCATACCTCTCAATTAAAAGTTGTATGCTGAATATATACTGTTGCCTTTTGTAAAGCCCTTTCATTACTGAAACAGAAATGAAACTAGAATACCTTAGTAGCTTAGCAGCAGATTTATTTTTCTATTGATTTTTGTTTCATTCTAATGTAAATTTCTCTTTATTATCAGTTTAGTCTTCAACAATTTGATCCTGGTATATAACACTTTCTGATCACACTGATCTCTCTTCCCTTTCTCATCATCACCCTAACCTCACCAACACATCCTCTCCTTGTATAAAGTCCCCATTCCACCTAAAGGCTTCTTTTTCATGTTTTTTTTTTCTTTATGGCCTATCGGGTTGAACTAGGACCACTTGTGTGAGGATAGATATGGTGTTATCTACAGAGACGAGGTAACTCATCAGTGGTTGTATGGCAGAAGACAGTGACTTCTCCAGTAGTCCTGAGTGTCATTAGCTCACCTGGGTAGCATACAATAAGACTCTTTTTCCTGTGACAGAATGTTTACTGGGTTCATGATCGTTCAGGTTCAGCCACATCTGCTGTGAGTTCATGAGTGCCATGGCCATCTCACACCACTATGAAAATGTTCCATTGATTTATTCCCTATTGTTTGGGCATACATTCTTCTCATTCCCTCTTCCTTGATGTTCCATCCAGGACTTGATATGGGTGTCCCATTCAAGACTAAGAACTAATAGACCCTTGTTTCCAACACCTTGACTAGCAATTAATTAACGGCTACTCCATGTAAACAGGATCTTCTTTGAGCAAGGTTGGGATAACATTAGATCATGAATATAAACATATAGGTTTTGGGGGGGCAGTTTGATAACATGTCCATTTAGCAAAGCAAGAGTAGTATGTTCTTGTTGCCTATAACCTCCCAGTCATAGCCTTTGACAAAGTATTGGGCATAAATTTCCTTCTGTGGTGTAGGCCTCAGAGCCAATTGGAGTCAGTTGGTTACGCTCCAAACAGTTTTACCATTATTGCTCCAGTAAGCTTTTCTAGTATGGCAGGTTAGTATTGCAGTATACAAGGCCCAAAGTTGAGCAAAATACCGCTACAACACTAATTTTCTTTTAGTTCATCTATTTGGTTGTTAAATTTATTTTTTATTTGTTCTATTCTTCATTATTTTATATTCACATTTTAGGATTTTTATTTATTATACAATTCTAAGTTGAACATATTTTTCAACTATTTAACATCATTTCCTGTCATCTGACTTTCATGGACAATATCAGCTGTCCATGTCATTCCTGTTAATTTATGTGCCATTTATAGTATATTGATTGAGAGCTGTTCCAGTTTGGTGACTTTATGTGTGTGCTTCTAACTTTTGGTAAGTTTCTTGAGTTTATGAGTAGATTTACTTATTGGTCTTTTGAAACTGTGAAATTTCTTTCCTGTCTTTTTTGTTATAAAATTTCTAGTATATGTAAGCCAGAACTTTGGCAATGATTTTGTCATGAAGTTCTTGATATTGTCTTATTTCAGGGAAAGCTTACCATGTCATATGGTAGACAGTTGTAGTGGTATACATTTGTGTATTCTGGTTTGATTTGAAATAATCTAGTTTGAGTTGAAACTTTGAAATATCTCTGAACTCCTTTATCCCACATAGTCTCTACATGAATTTCTAAATGCCACACTTAGTGCTCATGATCTCATCAGGCTGCAATGGCATTCAGGCACTCAGCTCTGATTTCTGCACCTCCACAGGGGAAGGTCACCAAAAACACATCTCTGATATTCAGCTCTTGTCCAGGCCTCATGAGTTTGACCTGTTCAGTTTTAAAAGTAGAAGATTCTTAGAGGAGGCATGCAGCAAAGCAGGTGTGTACCTTCCCTGACTTCTTTTTCCTGGAGCCTTCATCCAGTGACTGATAGAAGCAGAGGCAAACACCCACAGTTAAACACTGAACAGAACCCAAGGAACCCAGCAACAGAGACAGAGGAGATGAGCAAATTGGCAAAGAATGGGCTGGCAAAACCAGCAGAGACAGCTGATCCGAACAGGGGAGAGCTCTTGGACCCCAGACCGACAGCTGGGAGGCCAGCATGGGACCGATCCAGACCCCCTGAATGTGAGAGTCAATGAGGAGGCCTGGGCTACCAATGGGGTCCTGAGCAGTGGATCAGTGTTTATCCCTGGAATACTAACATTCATTGTGGGTCCATAACACAAAGAGGGTTGCTCTCTCTGCCTGAACTCTTAGGGAAGTGCCTGGACTCTACCCTGAATGAAATGATAGACTCTAGATATCCCCTATGCAGAAGGAATTGGCAATAGGGTGGGAGGATGGGGGGGATGGTGGGGGAGTGCGGGAGGAAGGGAGGGAGAGGGAACTGGGATTGACATGTAAAACAAGCTATTTAAAATTAAAATAAAAAATAAAATAAAAAAGGAAGAAGTTATCAGTTTTGTTCTAATTATACCTTTCACACAAAAATCTCGCAAGAGTAATCTTCAGG